TATTCTCGATCACTCTCTCACGTACACAATACTGACGGCACACACTACCCCTCCAGTAGTCCCTACAAGATGCCTTCTGTGACCTGTCCTCGCCATTCCACCTACCGCCTGGAACGCAAGGCCCCGCCTCCCCAGATCCCCCCGTCGAGTTCCTGCACACTGAAGCCCAGGAGACGCGGGCAGAGCACGCCCGCACAAAGATGCTAGAGCTGGGCTATGACCCGAGCAGCTTCTGGGAGCAGCGGATCGTGTGGGGTGACCACGATGCCTTCCAGTCAGTCTAGTCAACCCCTGACCTCCGTCTATATCATTTAAACACGCTCACTCCAGGCATGTGAACAACGTGCGCTATGGTACGTTCGATGTGTAGACGAAGCAGCGTGCCAGCTGATAGGTATCCGGGTCAGTGCGATTCTTGGAGTCATCCCGGATCGAGTGGATGGTCTCCCTAGGCAAAGAAATCGGCGGCGCCTCCCGAGCGGACGACATGCTCGCCGGGCGCGGCATCTCGCTCATCCTCAAGACCATCTCCATCGACTACAAGCAGCCCGTCGTCTACCCCGACACGCTCCTCATCGCGCACAAGCCGCACCCCGGCCCGCTCGTCTCGACCTCGGACGTGCACAAGACGGAGTTCGGCCAGCGCCGCTTCCCCAAGACCCACTTCCACCTCATGGGCGCGATCTACTCATACGCGCAGTGGCGCATCGTGACGGAGTGCGACGAGGTGCTGGTGTGGTATGATTACGAGAAGCTGGCAAAGTGTGACCCTGGTGAGGAGGCTAGGGCGGCGTTGCAGCGCAGGATGTTCTTGACGCAGGAGCCGAGTGCATATGAGTCAAGGTAAACCCCATGGGTTTCGTTACCTCTATCATATTCAGGCATCTAAAGCTTCATTGTAATCTCAATGAACTGCTTCTTTGTATCTGATCCCGAGAAGAACAATAAATAACCCATAAATTCAGGCCACCAGAAAAGGGAGAACACAGCACCCAAAGTCCTTTTGCGGTGAAGTCAACTTTACATTTGCTATCCTCAGCATCCCATCGTCACCCCACCATACGGACCATCATGGTCCGACTCGTCACCATCCCATATGTCCGGCACATCCCCGACGATACACTGCGTGCTCGGGTTGTCCTGGCCAGGGCACGACGCCCACTCGCCCGAATCTTCAATGTGCACTTCCCCCGATGGGTGCACGAACCCGAGGAACCTGCCCGGGCAGATCGGGATCGGGTCCTCCTCGTTGTTAATGTGCGTCACCGAGAGAGACGAGTCGTCGACGTAGTTCGCGAACGCCTGGTTGCCGACCTGTTGGAACGGTAAGAACGCGGCTGGAGTGGCAGGTGAGATGAGATTAGCACGCACTCGCGGCAGGCCGTATCCGATGTAGCTGAACGTCGCATCGGAGATGTGCAGAGGCAGATAGACAGCGTCAAGGAGTGAGATCGCAGCGCCTGATTGCGGTCATTTCAGCTATGACAGGCAGATACTCGGGTGGAGCAACGCACCCAAGGAGTGTCCCACCATTGTCACCTTGGTGGCGCTGTATGTAGATATCGCGCTCTGCACAGCTGAGAGGACGTCCGACGCCGTTCTAATTAACGGTCAGATGCAGAACCCGACGTAAATGATAGGATGGAATAGCGCACTTTGCTTGCTCGTCCGCGAAGCCCTGGTGCACTTCGATACTCGAGCTGAGGCCAGGGAAAAGCGTCGTGTCCGGGTTTATCATGATAATGTCCCCGTCCGTGACCAACGGAAGGCTGCGAAATTAGAGTGAGATATCACCTCCGCGACGAACAAAAGCAGCACTGCTCACATCTCGTCGGGATCAGTTCCCTGATGCGAAACGATCACCGTATCCAGGGTCGGGTCGTATCCGACATACCCTAAGATCCATCAGACACTACCGAACGCATCCACAGCACAGGCCCAAGCACTCACAGTACTGGACGGAGTCCCCGTCGCCTCCCGACGTGACAGGCTTGAAAGTCGGGGTTCGCATCGCAGTTCACCCCACAGCTCCAGTTGCTCGTCTTGGATGCGGAGCAGTAGCCCGCGCTGGCGTAGTACGTGTACGGACTGAACGCAGCGGTCGCAGTGGAGGAGAGCGCGGTGATCGTTCTGCTGGACGACCTCACCTGGAGATGCGGCGCGGGGACAGCTGCAGCTAGCGCAGCTAGCAGGGCAACACCGAGGGCGAAGGAAGGCACCATAGCTAACGCGCGTGCAAGCACTGGAGCGAATCAATCCAGGGGAGACTGGAGAACAACAAGAGAGCGATTAGGCCATGACATTTTTGTATTCGCGCCGAGCAAAGAGCACTGGTGGTGGCGGTAGACAGGCAGTGCCGAGAGCTGGCATGCTGGCTGATCTG